AACAAAAATAGTGATGCAGTTAAGTGTTTTTTTTTTTTTTTCGCTCAGCCGATTGCTGTTGCTGTGTGGAGCAGCCTGCATGTGTCAGTCAACTCTTCCTGACCGTCACTCACTCAACTCGCGCACTGCGGTCTCGTGAGGAACGCAGCTTTTTAAAATGAAGTATTTCTTGTTCTCGAATACAAATATTTTTTTAAGTATTTGTTCGGAATAAGTATTCGTAAAAAACACATTATTTGTGCCTTTCCGAATACCGTATTCGGATTCGGCTCCACCCCTACAAAGAACCAAACAATGGGTTTTGTGCTTAATATAATTTTATTTGTTGTTTGTCTTACACATGTCTCGAATGAAAGGTGTACATTTCATTGCGATCCATTGTATGATGGTCTTAGCCTTTTGTGCCTGTAAATTAGGGATGGCTGACGCGAAACAGACGTTCCGAAGCTTTGCGAGATCCCGAAGCAAAAATGATTCGAAACACTGATCCGAAGCGTGATTCAAAACACCCACAGTCACGTGACAAAGGCTAAATGAAGCTTCTGTTTCATCAGGTGGAGTGCTCCGCCGAATCAGGGTTTGATTGATAGGTCGGTCGGAAGGATCGCGTGAGCAAAGTGCACACAGAATGCCTATTCTTAAAGTCTTGTGCTGTTTTATGAAGGCAAACACCCATATAATGGTTTCGATTTAAGTTAATTGGCAAAATATAACGCTAGAGACAATGTTAGTTTATACTTTTTACATCTCATGTTCGGCAAAAGCCAGACTCGAACTCGAGCACATTAATCGCTCTTTCAAGAACCATGCGCTCTACGATCTACGCCACTGTAGCTATTCGTGATAGGCCTGTTTTTGCTTAAAACACCCCCCCCCCCCCCCATACACACACACCACACACACACACACACACACACACACACACATATATATATATATATATATATATATATATTATCTCTAGCGTTATATTTTGCCAATGAACTAAAATCGAAACCATTATATGGCTTTTTGCCTTCATAAAACAGCAAAAGACTTTAAGAATAGGCATTCTGTGTGCACAATATCTCAGATTAATAGAAACAACAGAAGAGAAATTAATATTTTTAAATAAAAATCTATAAGAAAGTGAGACATTGTGGCTTGATTTGTTTTATTAATATTAATTTTTCATGACCAAAATAACATTATTCAATGTGAAGAGACTACAGGTTACAAGCATCATATATTTAAAAAATACAATAATAAAAAAACACATTGTTGTAAAGGTTGTTTCAGATCAACACCTGCAATTGACCACTAGGTGTCACCATGGAGACGGGTGTCGGATTGATTCGAAGCCTCGAATCAATATAGCACATTTGCTTCATCTGTTTCATTGCTTCACAAAGCCTCGATCTGCCCATCACTACTGTAAATGAGAAAAGGTGAATGTAAAGTATACAAATAATGATTTGTTTGTTAATGGTGAATCTTTCTGTCTTACCTTCTTCCTGGAACTTCCTAAAAGGAGGGGCTCGCGAACAGGAAGCCTGATTTATACATGCCCTGACAAGAAAATTAAATCACCTTTGTGAGACTTCAGAGTTTTTTCCTTTTTCTTGCTGCCTGCCTGGCCATTGCTAAGACTGTCTTTACCACAGCAACCACCAAGCAACAGCCTAGCAACCACCCAGAACACCCTAGAAACAAACCAGAACACCCCAGCAACCATCTGGCAACACCCTAGCAACAACCAAGAACACCCCAGCAACCGCCTAGCAACACCTAGCAACCACCCAGAACACATTCGCAACCACCCAGAATACCCTAGCAACTGCATAGCAACACCATAGCAACCACCCAGAATACCCTAAAAAAACAACTAGCAACCACCCAGAACACCGTAGCAACCTTCCAGAACACCCTAGCAACCGGGTGCTGAGTTTTGCCGCTTCAAGCTCCACTTCACATTTTCTTCTGGAAATGTGCCATAAATGTGTTCCTGGAGGTCAAAATTGACCTATCTATCTAATATAACATCAGAAGGAGTCTAAAAGTTTATATTGTTTTAAACTTTTTGATGAACCTTTAACTAGAAATGAGTTCAATAGGTCAGATATGGACTTTTCTATGGCTTAGGAAGCATCTGTTGGAGTCTATGAGTATGTATGGAAAGTTCAAGATCAAATACTTTTGGGCCAGAAACATGTTCAGTAGGTCAAATATTTGTCTGGCTGAAATGACATCATGAGATGTAAATCTCTCAGTATATTAACCCACAGATCAAGTACCCGTGGGCCATAAAAGTGTTCCTGGAGGTCAAAAATTGACCTATGTAATATAACATCAGAATTAGTCTATAAGTTTATATAGTTTTAAACTTTTTGAGTAACCTTTGACCAGAAATTAGTTCAAAAGGTCAGATATGAACTTTTCCATGGCTTAGGAAGCATCTATTGGAGTCTATGAGTATGTATGGAAAGTTCAAGATCATGTACTTTGGGCCAGAAATATGTTCAGTAGGTCAAATATCTTTCTGTGCTGAAATAACATCATGAGAAGGATCAATTAATTACCCATAGGCTTGAAATATGTTCAGTAGGTCAAAAAGGAACCTATGTATATAACATCAGATTGATTCTATCAGTTGATATTATTTAAAAACTTTGAGGAAACATAGACAAGAAATTAGTTCAATAGGTCAGATATGGACTTCTCTATGGCTTAGAATCAAGTACCCGTGAGCCAGAAATATGTTCACTAGGACAAAAAGGAACCTATATATAGCTTATAAATCATCAAATGTCAATAAGTTAATATTTATTAAAACCTTTGAGGACCCTTTGACTCTTTCGCATGGATTCTACTACTAATTCTTTTGTGCACTGACGAAAAAACATCACTTGAGCGGTCGTGCAATGCAATAACTTACTCGTTCCTTTGTGCAACAAAGAGATGTGTAATGCATGTGTTTTGTAACAAGGGAAATAATTGCATTAGTTGTTGCATTTCTATGATGAAGAGAAATCGTTGCCATTCCCTTACGAAAAATAAGTTTATTCAAGTGTACTATTAGAATACTTGTTTTAAACTAAAAATAAGAGAGTATACTTTCAGTCTACTTTCAATATACTTTTCAGATATATACTTAACAAAATTATACTTAAGTATACTTGGCTTATACTGACAAGTATACAGAAAAGTCTAAGTATACTTGTACTTAATCATTTGATCAAGATATACTTAAGAAAAGTATTCTTTCTGAATACTGAAAGTTTAAGTGTACTTGGCTTGTACTTGTGTTTACTCTTTTATTAAATAATTTTCACATGCAAGTTAACATGCAAGTTAACATCAAGTCTGCATGCTTAAAGTACAGTTAATGGTTTATTTCAAGCATAAATACTATAAGCTAATTGGAAACTTAGTAGTATACTTTAAATGCAGAAACTAAAGAAGTACAACCTGTTTGTGGGTAGTTATGTATGTGTTCGTACTGTGTTGTCCTTTGTTTGAACTGGGCATCCAAAACAATATTTGTTTGAAAACTATGAAAATTTATAAAGTAAATGACTTTTTGATTTTGACTCCTGTTTGTCTTGTGAATATTTATATTTGTAGTCCACTGGTAGAGTGAGTTAACATCAAGTGTACATAAAGTACAGTAAAAGGTATATTTCAAGTATAATATGCAAGTAGTAACCTATCCATATGGAAAAGGTTTGCTAAAATAAAAACACCTGTGATTCGTATATGTTCCAACAGAATATTGTAAGAGACATATATGCTGAAAAATCAACATATATAAATTGCATAATATTAATATATATTTTAATCATACATGTCATATACTGCATGTCCTACACAAAAGCCATATAGATTTTCTTTATGTAAAAACATAGGAAAATAATGCTAATTTAATATTCATGTCCAGCATATATCTTAAAGTATTAAGTTGACTTTCAAACTCACCCTGATGTCATCCAAGATATCCATGTATCACTTAATTTTTTTTATACACAGAATGGACTTCAATGGCAACCAACTATTCAAATGTTCAAAGAAGTTTCAAAAGTATAATATTATTATTATTATTTTTAGTATTTTTTTAATTATTATTATTATTATTATTATTATTATTTTTAATGATCGATCGTTTCGCTAGATTAGACCTTTACTTCTTGACTGGGATCATGTCGAGACTTTGAAGCTACATTGAGATGGACATTTGAACCTTCTTAGAAAATTTTAATTTTTGGTTACCATTGAAGTCTGTGTAGAAAAATCCTAGAATTTTTTCCTCAAAAACCTTAATTTATTTTTGACTGAAGAAAGAAAGACATGTATATCTTCATCAGAGTAAATTATCAGAATTGGGGTTTTCAAATGTCTTTGTATTTCCCTTTAAAGTTTTCTGAATAAAAAAATAAAATAAAATAAAATACTATTCTTAACCTGTACAAACATAAAACTTTCCTTAAGGTATTCTTATGCATATCACCACCAGAGTTTATCACATATACAAAAATATATTCTCGCCAATTTTCAACATTTTATTCACTGTTCTAGAAACATATTTGACGCAACTTTGTTAAATCGGTGCACCCCATGATTTAAATAAAACTTCCTCTGTGTATGTCTTTTATTTTATTATTTTTTTATTTATTTTTTTTTTTTATTATTATTTTTATTTTTTTATTATTTTTTTTATTTTATTATTTTTTTTATTTCTTTCCATGTGTGAAGTTTAATATACTTGATATAACATGTCGGAATTCTATGTGTTTTTGTGCTCTGTACTTGCTTGTTATTTGATACATATTCAATAAAAAAAAATAAAAAAAAAAGATTTAAATAAAACTCGATGATGAATTACATCCGGGACTTTTACTTGTTGAGCGCGACGAAACATGCAGAGACATTTTACATAGACGCCATTTTCAATGATTCGCGATGCAAGGCATTCGATGACGATGAGGGAAAGCGCATGGATTAAGTGTTTTATCGCATTAATTTATGCATTGTATAACGTCTTATTGTTTGCTGTGCGTGGCTAAACCGCTCTCAGGGGGGCACTTCCGTCGACGCCCGATTCCGATGCAGAGCTGACCAGGATTCGTTTGTTTTTTAACAGGGAAACGGCGAAGGTAAGTGTTTTATCTAATTTACAATATGTATTTTATAATATATTTATTTTCAGCGATATTTAAATGCTTTGTGCGCTTAAACGAGCCGAATATTTTCTCTAGTCTAAGCCAAGGCGACTATCTTCTTTGACTCAAAACTGAGCTGACGACGAGGGAGGTTTGCTTGTAACGTTAACAGGAAAAACACAGAAAGTAAGTGTTTTTAATCTAATCTACAATATGTATTTCATGGCATTATATTGTTTTTTTAACAATATATGTGATGTGCTTTTAACAGTAAAAACAAATAGTAAGTGTTTTAACTCCTTACATTACGTGTTTTATATTGTTTATGACAATATTTGTGATGTGCAAATAGTAAAAGTATTTATCCTCCTCAAACTATCTTTTACAACTCACAGACTGCAGACCAACAATGCACGTGAAATTTCCTTTTTTGGACGACCAATTTTCTTAGAATGGGTAATTAATTCTTTCAGATTAAATATTTATGCAAAATGTACTTATCAGAATAACTTTTGATGTTTGGTGGTTATGCTTTTATGTTTAAATGTAAGTTATTGATTTAGCTATTTGTCTTTTCTAGGAGCATTTCTATGATGCACCGAGTGGCTAATGCTAACCAGGCTTGGTGTTTAAAGACTGTACAGACTAGAACTTGGTGATGGTAAGATTTAACAGATAACATGAGAGAATCATGGGCACAAACAAAAACAATAATCATAGCTTTGTTGCTATTTCGTATAACTATGATTTTCTGTGTTTCATAACACTCATTTTGATTTTGTCCAGTCAAATAACTTTACAAAAGTAATTTTTATTTTTGACTTAAAATTAGTTTTCAAACCAATTGTTTTCATGACTTGACAGGTATATGTTTTCTTGCTGTTTAATTTTAGACTCCACTGACTGGGAAATGTCTGCCTATCACCTGTCCAACATCACAGCCACAAGAAGGGAACACAGATTCTTCCGGCGGCTGACTATTAGGGAGATTTCTTAAGGTGGGTGTCTAAATTTATGTCTGTCATTAATTACTCACCCTCATGTTGTTCCAAACATGTAAGAATTTCTTTCATCTTCACAACACAAATTAAGATATTTTTAATGAAATCTGAGAGCTTCCTGCCCTCCATTGACAGTCTATGCAACTACCGCTTTCAAGCCCCAGAAAGGTATAAAGCAGTGATCTCAAACTCAATTCCTGGAGAGCCACAGGACTACACGGTTTTGCTCCAAACCTAAGCACACAAATGATCCATTGAGCTAATCAAGGCCTTCAGGATTGCTAGAAACTTCCTTACACGTGTGAGTTGGAGCTAAACTGTGCAGAGTTGTGGCCCTCCAGGAATTGAGTTTGAGATCACTGGTATAAAGGTACATCATTATGCTGTGTTCACATGTATACGCTTGAACACTTTGAATCCATTCGTGCGTCGCAGGCAGGCTCATTTTTTTTAGCGTTGCGGCAAATTGACGGCAAAGTTAAAAATTTTCAACAGGATTTTTTTCTGTGCGTAACATGTCTTTGCATTGATTGACGGTAGAGATCCACTTTTGCAACACAACTGTCGCAACGCCTCCCCACATTTGTACTTTGATGGGTGTTCCTCAAGTTTACCAAAGGACATGGTTTTGACTTTTGATTTCCTTTCCGTGGCTTTGGAAATAGTAGTTGTATAGGCTTAACTTCGTTAAGTGTTCCGAAGATGAACAAAACTCTGGTTTGGAACAACATATAATAATAATTAATGACAGAATTAACATTTTTGGATGAATGAAGTCTTTAATTTACTTGGAAATCAGTAAATTCTATTCTTAATCTAACCAAAATAGTTTCTTGTGTGACACAAATTGTATTAATTGTGATCGATCTGGTTTTGTGTTGTGTTATCTAGAGAACCAGCACTCCAGGATTTTTCGAGAAAGTTGGATCTGCACAGCCGTTCCTGCTCTATGAAACTCTACTGTTAGCAACTGGACACAACTGATCCACTCGTACCCTGCGACTGATCCGCTCGTATCCTAGAACTGTTCTTCTGCTGAATGTTGTTGACTCGAGCACTGCTGTACTGTTGCAGGTCGAAGGTACTGAATCAACTTCACTGACACTGGACTTACATTCACTGTTCAGGATTTGAAGTATCACAGACCATTTGACAGAAATACCTATATTTTGCATTCATTGTTTATTTTAAAGGTTAACCTATGATGTAAAGGGGCTTGTTTGTTAATAAAATAAATAGTTTGTTAAAACCACTGTTTGAATTTTGCCTTTTTTAAACTTTACAATGAACAGAATTCTGTACTGTACAATTTCCAAATTTGCAAACTTTGTATAAGTCATGTTGGTCATCTAAACATGAAATCTGTATGACACTTTTTTATAACAAGTATAAAAAAATTACACAAAATGTGTATAAATCGTATATTACTTTAATTTGACTAGCATATGATTCAATATAAGAACTTTAAATGATTTGTATATGAATTTAAGTTGTTTTGTAATAAAACCATATACCATTGCATATGTTTGTCACGTAAAACTCATTTGATTCGATATAAGAACTTTAAATGATTTGTATATGAATATTGTGTGTTTTCTACAAGTACCATACACCATTCGATACTTTTGTCATGTACAACTCATATAAGACTTTTACAGTATTCGTATACGACACAAAATTCCCCTATAAGTTGTATGTGTGCTATTTAGTATGAAAGGGGCCATAATCGGTCTGATTTTCTATAGGACATGTATTGGTCTTACATGAAACACATAAGGTAATTCTGGCCAATTTAAGTAAGAAAGATATATGGTTGCTGTATATGAACCATGCTGGGTTTTTTTTTTCATATAACACAGCGTAAAAAATAATATATAAATAGTAAACTATAAGTATGATGTTAAGTTCACTGAAAGAAAACTTACAAGTACACTTATAGTATAAAAACTATTGAACTAGTAGTTTACTGAGTAGTATACTTAAAAGTGTACTTTCATAAACTAAAAGTCCAGGCTAGAAGTATATAACTAGTAAACTAGAAGTATATCTATAAGTTCACTTGTAGTATAACTGCAGTACAAAATAAAACTTTGAAGTAAACTAGTTGTGAACTCAAAGTTTACCACTCTTACACTTTAAGTATACTTAAAAGTATACTTTTATATACTAAAAAGTGGGCCAATTTAGTCCCAAGAAGTATTAAATTAGTATACTTACAAGTATACTACTAGTACTATGATCTTAGTATACTTGGTATGTCCAGTATACTTGGGAGAAATACTTGTACTTTACTTAAGTTTACTTAGTTAAATAAACTTGAAGTATACTTTATTTTGGTAAGGGTTAGCTGTTTCCTTACAACGCATGCAATAACTAACTCATTCCGTTGTTCAACGAAAACACATCTAACACGTTGTGCATTAAAGTATATGGGTCAGGGGATCTCTGGATAATCCGTAATTCGTTTGTAATTATAAAACGAAAATACCCTTTTTCTGTTTTTTGTTTCAAATAGAAAAACCGAATAACCGTTTTTGGTGTCAGAATCAAAAAACAAAAAACGAATTAAAAACTGCCCGATTTTCGTTTTTTGGCGATCATTTTATCGTTATTCATTTTTGAACAAAGAATTGAAGTGAGTCTTTGAACTTCTGTCAATGGGCTATAGACGAATCCGACGAGCGTTCTGTGTAGGCTGCCATCTTGTGGCGACGCCATTACTGAGCTGTTACACAGGCATATAGACATATGCACCGGTATGTAAACAAACCTCGGTGGTAACGCGAACTCACCCTCGATGACAGCTACAGCCAGGCAGAATGACTTGTTGGTTTGATCTGTGACTGCAGTGGCCTCCAGTCACAGATGAAGGTACAAACGATCTTACAGATTAACGTTATTTATGAAAATAGCTTGGCAAGCTAGCTAGGCTAACGCCTGCTAACGAGGAAACTATAAAAAGATCTGTCCATTTGGCAACAATAAATAAATAAATGAATGAAATCAAATAAACAAATTCATGTTTTTCATTTGTGTCCATTATTTATCTCATTTTCACATTGCAACAGGCAAGGGTAAGGTAACGTTACAGCTAGAAAGTATACATAATATCGACCAATTAGTGTTTTTAAACCATGGAAAGAGGTCAATATAACAGCAGGAAAACAATTATGTCACATAACGTTACATTTAGCTCAGGAAAGCCATTTAATGACCATAGCATGTTAATTGAATAGAAAAAACAGCAAGAGAAGATTTTGCTGATCACTACATCACATATTTATTATATTTTTTTACTCATGTCATTAAATAATTGTTATTATACGCGAATGTCCGCGTCTTGTACTCGCCCAGGAAATCTGTGTAAACCGTACGGCACCAGACAGGGGCAGTCGACCCGGGGTATTCACAATGTTTTCTCTTCAAAATTGAAATTTTACTGCCACCATTGAAACAATTTATAACGGAAACTGTTTACCCACTCGACATTATACAAGGGGTAACGTTGTAACGTTAGTGACAGTCGTAAATTGCGGGCTGTTTATTCCAGTGGACGCAAGTTGCAACTAAAACAATAGGAGGCAATGGCGCAACGCTACCCAGCAACAGCTCAGTAATGGCGCCCGCTTACTTCCGGTAGTTTCGCCGGATTCGTCTATATGCACGCATAAGTTCCGCATTTGACGTGAGGATGCTCGTCCATTTCCGGTTGTGTAGATTAAAGCGGAGGAAAACCGGAGAAAACGGGATTATGGCAGAGTCTTCAATATTTACTGTCCTCCTGTCTTTGAAACGAAACGTACATACGTTTAGATGTAATTTTATATATAGTTATGTTTATTTAATATAATTTTAAAAAGAAGCATAAACACAACGAGGGGTGTCTGTTTTATCTGTTTTTGTGACTAACGTTTCATTAGTATAACCATGGAGTATAAAATTCAATATAAATTCTCGGTATTGCATTGGACTCTATGATCGGCGGAAGTTATCGAGCATCCTTAATCCTTCACCGGAAATAACGCCGTGCATAGAGCCCATTCGTTTTTCGTTTATAAACCAAAAACGGAAGTCACGTGGTCCATTCCTTATTTGGAAGCGAATGTAACCGGAAACACTTTCAAAATAAAAGTAACTACAGTTAGCGAGGTGATGGTAGACTAAAACTGAACTAATATAACATTTTTTAGTACAACTAAAGTAGCACTGGGTGTGAGTAAGACTTTAGTTAACTGAAATAAAAATTCAAACAAATAAAATAATAACTCTGGCTGTTAGGGAGAATTAAACATTTGTAAAACCATTGGTGAATAGGGCCTACAGCTATGTATGCTATGAGCAGGGCTCTGGATTGCAACTCTTTCACTAGCATATATGGCCTAAAATGTTTTACAAGCATAGTGGGTGAGTGAAGACTGTAAATCTAAAATCCTACTGTAAATGTTATATTATACTTTTATACATTTATAGTTCCTCCTCCAGGTTGTGGTTATTGGCCTCTGCAGTGGACAGATGTAGATTTAGCCAGAGCCAGGATGTCACTGTGCAAAAATATATATTTCATAAATCTTTTTTTTTTTAAAATAAAAAACTGAACTTCACCTGCCTTCCAGCTCCCCTTCTATCGCTATAATAGCATAGCTGCTAAAAACTCTCTTTATTTTTCCTTTGCATTTTTCTCCAGTGTAATATTATTATGTTAGTTAAGTAGATTAAATATTTTTAACCCTTGTGCATCAATTATATAGAGGACAAAAATGTCCGTGTCAAAAAACTGTCATAGAAATGTGAAGCTTGGAGCACAGACTTAAGTTGGTATCATTTTAAAGAAGACCCATGGCAGATTATTGCTGAAGTAAACTAAAGCTAAATTAAAATAATAAGTAGTAAATCCAAAAAAAAAGTTATATAGGTATAAGTTTATGAAAATTATTTATAAAAAAATATGATTTATAAAATATATATTTTATAAATCAGGTTGAACTCAAAAACTGCAAGAAAATCAAAGCCATGAATCTGAATAGGTTGTGTTCCAAATTTGAGTTGGATAGGCCTATCTAAAAAAAAAATTAGCTTTCAGGAAGAGTTTGTTTGGGTGCAGTAACAGATTTCCCCCACTGGGTGCCAGAAAAACTCCACTGGTGCACACAGTGATTGGATTTTAGATTTGCAAATGAGTTTTTCTCTCTCAAATATTACAAGCACAGAAACACATATACACACACAAAAAAATGTATTACACACATACAAACAAACCACACTCTGACATCCACCCACACAATTATCGTTAATAAGCAGAAAACAGGAATAAAGCAATATTTGTTTTATAGGCCAAACCTGGACACCATCTGATAAAAAATACCACCATCTGATAAAAAAAAATAGTAAAAATAAAACTTTTGGAGCCTTGCCAACAGAATAAAAGCCTCTTAACATAGATTGCATCATTTTATAGTTAAATGACCCTGGGATTAAAAATTGCGGTTTCAATGGGAACATTTTTGTCCAAAGGGCACAGATAGGGAGTATTTTGTGTACCTAATGCAAAATCATTATTATTTTTTTAAGAAAATGGCGGTGAAATAGTAAAATTCCATGAAAATACACACCTGTGCCAAATTAGCATTAACACAGGTAAAGTGATAAAAAAACTGAAAAGGACAAAAATGTCCATAAAAGGGTTAATGCAGCTTGTAGTTCTCATTAGTTATGTAGACCTACTTGTGTGTGAAACCCAGCATTACTCGGTCAAAAATGAGCTGGGACTTTCAGATCTTTTAGCGCTTTGGGGGGTTTAATTCTGTTTGATGACCACCAGGTAAAGGCAGTGCTCTATACTTTTGGTACTTGTGTAAAGTAAAAAAAAAAAAGTGTTTAGTTTTTTACTTTTAGTTTTTTGGCATTTAGTTTTTCTCCCTGGTACTCGTGTCAGGGCCTCCCAGAGTTTCCCCAATACCTGTCCTGGAGGATGTGAGCCTGTGCACTGTGTGCAGGGTTTAAGGACTGATGATAGTAGCAGGACTGGCCCCTTCACCTACCATCACTCTCTCTTCAAATAAATGCTGGACAGGACAAAGCAGAACACCACTCCTTCCTCTGGCACCATAAAAGGGCCTTAATTATTGTCACTTTCAGATATGTATGGTTTATGTTAAGCCACATCTTTGTGGACTTTGTGGCACTGCTTTTGTGGAATTGGATGATGTCAGCTTATGACTTTAATTACAAATGTACATCATATTGTACAACGGTACAGTGAAGCATGGCTCTGCATTGCAACTCTTTCTCTTTCCACACGCAACCAACACCACACTTTATGTAAAAAAAGATGGAGAAGCATTATTTATTATCTTTAACTTCAGTAGATGTAAAACACTACAAGGGGAATGTGTTGCTCTCAGGAGGAGGCTGTATTTGTACAATGACATCCTGGCTCTGGCTAAATCTACATCTGTCCACTGCAGAGGCTAATAACCACAACCTGGAAGAGGAACTATATAAATGTATCAAAGT